CTGAACTGCGCCGAGAGTGGGAGAAGATGGCAGCGCCTTTCCCTGAGGGACCGGATGAGAGGGGGTGGGTGAGGCACTCATCTTGTGGGATAATTTTTGCGATGAGGAGTGCCCCACCCCCGCAATCGGAGGCCAAGGAGCGACATGGGGTGCTACACCAATAAGTCCATGGGACTACAGTAAAAGTTTTATTGATGTTGATAACGGCCTGTTGCCGAAGTTGGAACCAATGTTGCCTTTAAGCGAAGTGCTGGTGGATGTAGGGGACAATAAAGTTGACAGTTCTAAAGTTGTAAAGACAAAACCTCTGTTATTTCCCGCCGACAGTGAGGGATCGCCTGAGGGAGGTAGCGGACCTCTTCACATCTGGTAATATGTTGACTTTAAAAAGGACACTGATGCAAAGTGCTATGAGAAAGAAGAGGCAGGGAAGTCCTCATCGTTCTACACTAGGCCTCTCAATGTCTTAAAAATGCCCTGGTCATGGAGAGTGAAGGTAAATCATACAGAACCAACAACTCCTTCACAATTTTGGGTCTTAAAAACTGAAAATCATCAATGAAACTAAGCCAGTTCCTGCTTTGGATGTTTCAACAAAAGAAACACTTTAATAGCAGGGCTCAAATTACAATGGATACAGTTTTTGAATATATTTTGGTTGGACAACATCTGGAAATCTGAAAAGATATTTCAAGGTGATGTACAATCTTGATACATGTATAAACCCTGAGGACGAAACATAATATGAAGAAGTGGGGTATTTTCATATGTATGTCTTAAATTTGTCAGTAATGTGAACATAAAGTCTACAGTACCTAGAATGTTTTAAAGACTCTAAGTTTGTTTTTACTCTATTTACATGCAGTACAAATAGCATTTGGAGATTATCATTTGTTTTCGTTCCAGGACAAATGACTGAAATAACAACCCCCAAAAATGTAATAATTGATCATTTGCTTCCTTCTTATTTAACTTATCCCAGGATCTATTTGTGATGGAGTGTCTCACCCCTTTAATGGCAGAATCATTCCTGGTTAGTCTTGAGTATGTTTCATTAGCATTAAATGTATGTATAAATGATTAATTTCTGCAGTTTTCAAAGTATTACCAAAGAGTATTAGCCTGTTACAATGAAAACAGCAGTCTTTCAAAACTTTAGATTAATAAATTTTATTGTGTGGCATAAATTCATACAAACTACAACCCAATTCAGTACTGGTATATCAAATGCAGCATTTTGCTTGGAAACTAAGGGGCTTCGTTTCACAAATAAGTTGTAAACAAACAGACAAAGGTTACTTTACAAGCAGCATGATAAGATAGACAGAATTTAATTTTATGGCCCATGAATCCTTTGGAGCCATTATGACCTTGCTGCTTTTAATTAACATCTTGGGCTGTTAAATATCTAGGATGGGCCTTGTTAAAATGATAACATTGTTTGTGCCTACTCTTTCACACTTCAATAAAAATCTTAAGATAATCATTTAAGTAATACTGTGTATTCAGCAACTCTACTCTCCTAACAAGAGGAGGCAAGAATAATGCAGACAGGAGCTCTGGGGGAAAAATATTCATGCACACACATGCATATATCAGAACAGTGTTATTCCAACTGCTAGGCAAAAGCTAGCAGATGGTATGGGAAGTCTTCTTGTGCCCTTCAGATATTGTGAATTAGCACAACTAACATGTCTAGCAGCATGAGCTGCTAATGAATCAAGTGGCAGCATCTTAAAGCAACATTGGGGAAGACACCCTTCTGCTTAGATGAACTGCAAGTGGCTAATAGTGAGGGATCATGGGAACTGAAGTCCAAAACATCTGGAGGGAATCAAGTTGAGGGACAGCTGCTATAGGGCAACTGTTGGAATACTCTCAACCGCTCACAAAGCCTTTGAATAAAGAGTGTTTGATCTGCTTGACTATCATTCAGAATCCTCTTCATTATACCAACTGCAGCAAATTCATCTGAATTCTGCTCCAAGGTCAGGAAGAATACTGGGAAGAACTCCTGACCCTGCAATTTAAATGAAGTTAATTTCATTTATTTCATGAAAGGTTTAGCAGAGGAAGAACTTAAAAAGAATGGTCTTTATTCCTATGCTATAATTACATATGTTACGCCACATAACTTGAGTGCAAGTGGGATAGTCTGGTACCTGAACAGATCCCTAAATATGACAACTGAGATTAATCCAGCAAAATTTGATGTAAGGTCCTTTTGTATGGCTCTGACTGTATAAGAAAAAGTTGCAAGCCAGACCACTGTACTGGTACAAAACAAACACAAGTTTCTTGGTGCACACAATGTGGAATTGCCCAGTAATAATCTTCTGATTGGGTGTATGTATTTGACTCAACATGATAATGGACAAATCATTGTGGATTATGAACCTTCACATATTGTTCAACAACATTCCTGTTGAGGTGGACATCCATGATGGCATTGTGAGGCTCAAAGAAGTTAACAGACTTTGTCTTGAAGCACAAGTAAGCAAAATCCACTTTGAGTAGCTGAAATCGTGTTGCTTAAAGTCACAATGAGAATAAGCCCTTTGAATCAGTGAGGATTTGGTGAATCAGCTCCTCTCTTGAGTTCCATTCCTTCAATGCATCTACAACTCTAGTTCTGACTCACAATGCTAAGCAACAGGATTTCAGCTAGCCTATCAGTGGAGTAAGGATTTCACAGCTCTGTTAATTTTTCCATGTATGACTTACATACTTCCCAGTAATAACTAGGGTATGTATATGACTATATGCAAAACAAGATATTGACAAAATAAAGGAACATGTTGACTCATGGTACATTGTGCATATATGCATGTGTAATATCAATGACCTACACGCATGTGACCAAAAATCCAATAACCTTTCATTCTTCCCATTATACTATTGGTGGATTATATTCCTATATATACAAAATAAATAAAATAATAAAAACAGCACTACACTGTTTTATTTTGAAACTTTCCATTATCATCTGAAGGCTATAACCTACACATATTTATGAGGAACCAAGTCCCATTGGACTTTGTGAGACTTACAATTTTTGTTACAGAGGTTGAAACTTTGTATTTACAACCACAACATCTTCATTACAGGGGGGGGAGTGTATATTAAAATGCTTGTTTGCACTAGTCAGTGAGTTGTATTTGTGCCATTTGAACATTAATGAACTTGTAAAGTCAACATTTATTGTCTCCATATGGGTTGAGCTACCTGCAATGATAGTCAAGGTTTAGATTTTCATCTTTCATTAATTTTCACAGCTGCAAATTGATTTCAGAGCTTTCCCATGCAGATATTGCACAAAAAAGGGCTTCAGTAGTACAAAGGGCCATTAAAAATCAGAGATAAGCTAAAGCATAATTAATGTAATCTTCATTAAGTCTTAAATATTTATTCCTAACAAGATGGGAGCAAAGAAATTCTAAGACTTCCAGCCTGCTAAAACCAGTCTCAGAGGCATAGTTCCCACTGCAGCACTGTCACCCAATTCTGTAATCTATCATTTTAATGCTTAGGATACAGAAATGACAGTTCTACCAGTACTTACTTATGTAACTACATATGTACAGATTCATCCCCTCAACTTCAAATTGAAAGGATCACCACCTCTGCTAGAATGATGGGTTTGAGGGGGTGATTTCTGGCTCTGACTGCTGAACTACCATTCCTGTGATCTCTTTATCATTGGCAGGGAGGCCAGGACTTAATGAAAATGAAGTCTAAGAAAACATGAACAGCCATACAGTTTCCAAACCTCAACTAGATGCATGAACAGTCTGGACATGTACATTTCAGCTTGTATGTTCCATCCTACTTTCAGGGACTTAGGGCATGCTTGCCTGTTGGCCTCAATAAACTTTCCGATAAATTTCTTAGTTTGAGAACATAATTAATCATATTATTCCACACAGAAAACATTACATGGCAAAATTATTTAATCAATTGTAAATACAATTCTTAAAGAATTCATGCACGTGGAACTTCGGCTAGGGAAACAGCTGTGGCAATCAGAAAAAGTGACCAGTTATGTGCGACGGATATTTAATCAGATCGCCATGGCAGCTTCCAGGGTGAAACTCCATGCATGTACAAATGCCTTCCCTCTTGAGTTTCTCTCCCGGGATGAATGGGGCCAAATTCAAAACGGGAAGTAAACAAACCAGCTGCCGGCTACCTGTGTGCAACCCTGACAGAGCTCTGAGTATATATTTTAATTGCATTTTAATTGTTTTGTCTTTTTATTGTATTTTAAATGTTGTAAGTCACCCAGAGACCTTTGGGTAGTGTGGGCGGCATATAAGTTAAATAAATAAAAATGTGAACAGGTTGAAACTGGCAGTAACTTGCTAAAAATGAAAGAGGATTGCTTCACACAGTATCTTCAGTCTAGGTCAGTAAAGCTCATTCGGTTATATCACCATCAAGTTAGGATAAAATTTACTAGCAATGTTGTTGTGTTCAGTTAGCAATTTCATAACCACCAAGAGTAATAGCACAATTTAAGTAACTAATTTTAGGTGAATGAATCCTTGCAGCATGGTGTAATACAGTTTGTGCACTGTTTTACACAAACAGAATCAAATACTGGAAACAGTACTTGCACCAAAATGAAATAGATTTTTCTCAAATAGCAGAAATACTAACATCGTTCTATCATAACGTGAAAGTTACCATCCCCGAATTAATAGAAATGAGTATTTAAGTGTGGAGTGTTCCTGTTCAGGGCCTATTCAACTGCATCCTCTTCTCAGGATAGCCGATTTCATCCTCCCTTCCAACAGTCAGTCAATATAACATGTCCACAGAGCACATCCAGCCCTCACTGGGCAGTTTGCATGGGATTCTAAAGATTTTTTGTATTTCTGTAAAATGTTGGACTTTCCCCAAGGCCACTGATATTTCCACTCATATGTGAAAGGTGCAGTTCTGGCTACAACCCCCACCTAAGAGAAATGAGACTAGTAATAATATATATGATGGTCATATGCGAAGAAGGGGAAAAACACAGATTTACTGCCTTTAATATTGAACAACCAAAGTTTCACTTTTGTACATAATCCAATTCAAAGATATTATAATTAGCACTTCCAGCATGAACAATCTGTATTTACAATCAATGAGACAGGAGGGGAAAGCTAAAGATGAATCTTCAATTTGTGTATGAAACACCATTCAAAATGTACTATTTACAAAGGTCTCAAAATTCAGAACCTTACATGAGAAAATATTAAAACTGCTTCACTTACAATTTTTGAAATGATTGTTGCCATGTTTTAAATATCTGAAATCTTCCATAATGCCTTAATTGTTTTTGTGCAACATTAAAAATCTCATCCCCATATTTCTATAGCTGATGCTTGTCTGTCGTTTGGAATCTGATGTTAAGTATATGCAAGAAAATTTAATATAAAATCCTAATTCCATAGTCCTGGGTAGAGAATAATTCTTAATAGGTGGAATCCATCTATTCCAAAATTCTTATACATAAACATTATACATGTGAAAAGTCCTTCACTCTTGAGTAAAGTTTATGCAAAGTATTAGTGAGTAAGAACATGTCAAACTTTGTATGGATTTCAGCTGGTACAGACCTTGTTGACTGAAAATAAAATGTATTTCTATTGTTCCTTTAGCCATATTAGTAGTTAATCATCAATTCCAGGCGTTTCACCCTGCTGGATTCTGGAAGCTATTCTAATGGCTTCTTCCAAAGATTGCTGTTCTCCAAGCTGAAAGAAACAAAATTGTATGCCAAAATGCATTTTCCACAGTAAACTAAAACAAAGAATTCTAAAATATTTTTTTGTGAAATTGGCTTGAGTATATCAGAAAATTGTACACAGATCATACTTCTGCATATGAAATTGTAGTGGCCATTCATCAGTATCTAGTTCACAAGATGTACCTTAGGTCTGAAAGCAGTTTGTCTTAAAGTATGTGGAAGATATGCTGAAGATTGGGAGACCAAAAGTCTCTTATGTAGGTGGCACAATCCTTGGATATCGAACTATCATTAAACTATTTCTAAGCATTAATAACAACTGATCAGGAATCTGATATGTATCAGCCTCAGGTTACTCTGTGTATGATGTGTATCTTTTAGTAATAATTACATGTCTGCAGAGAAAAATGCTAGATACTACTTTTCTGCTTATTTTAAGTGGTTGTCAGTATAACTCAAGTGGATCAAACCCATTTTGAAATACAGTGGTGCCTCGCTTAGCGAGTGCTTCGCTATGCGATGAATTCGCATAGCGAGGGGGTCCGGGCCATCACTGGAGCGTTCGCTCAGCGATGGCCCCTATAGCGTTTTTTCGCTTTGCGATGATCACTAAGCAATTCGCTTAGCGATTTTCGCAGAGGGAAGCGGGGAGAACAGCTGATCGGCGGTTCCAAAATGGCTGCCGGAAGGTCCGCGCCGCATTTTCGCGCCCTGCCCTCGCTTACCGAGGCCGCGAAAATGGCGGCGCTATGGAAAAACATCGCTTAACGGTGAGTTTTCAAGCCATAGGAACGCATTGAATGAAGTTCAATGCGTTTCTATGGCTTTTTTATTCCCGTTTAGCGATGTTTTCGCATAGCGAAGGTTAATCCGGAACGGATTAACCTCGCTATGCGAGGCACCACTGTAATTCAGTGCCACTTTTAAAAAAAAGCATTTAAATTACCAATGTCCCTTAACTTTCTGTTAATCTTTGTGTCCAATGATTTTTTATTTTTGTGTCCCTCCTCTGATAAAAGATTAATGTGTAGGAGGTGGCATGGTAGGCTGCCTAAAAGGATGGCATTTGAAATATCATCACTCTCTGTATCTACTCACAGAAGATAGCTGGATCAATCAGGAGGAGAGACTGTCTCCCCCACCAATCAAAGTGGAGCTTTGCAGATTTTAAAGAGATCGAAAGAAAGAGAAAGAAAATTGCTATAGTATTTTAAGACTAAGAATTCTTTTTCGGTGTGAGTCTTCATTCACTTCCACTCTGAGGGAGTGGATTTGATTCATTTTTGTCCAAAGGAGCCATTTTTGATCCACAAAAGCTCACAATTAAATAAAATAGTTAGTGTTTAAAGTGCTGCAATAGTTTTCCCTTCTTCTGCCGATAAGCTGAGACAAACATCTGCTTCTTTGGATATTTAAAAAGGTAATACAGATATTTTGGTGTAAGCAGAAATCTGTTTTTAATTTAGATGTTTTATGTTAGAACAATAAAATATTTTAAAATAATGACAGTACAAAATGGCAGGATTCAGCTATTCTAAAAAAAGATTACCTTTACTGTGTAGTAACTTCAATGACACTTAGTTTTTGCCAGTTTACAACTAAAACTAACTGCACTAGACCAGTTCATAAAGACTTCTCTGCAAGTACGACACCACAGATCATAAGATCTTAAAAGAAAGAAATAACCCCACACAAATCCCTTTACTGGAAGTCAAATATAATGGAGGGCAGAAGCAAAGTCTTAAATTATTTTTAAAAAGTTAAAAAGCTGATGGATAATTTGAAAATCAAAATTTCCCAATGACTATATCCATTACCTGCACTGCAATCTGTGTTCCATTGGATGTTGCCAGCAATGTAACAGGCCTAGATTCTGCAGTCACTAGATGATGTCCATGTTGTTGATGTCCAATTTCTGGTGAAGCACTATGAAATGCTGCTAGATCCTGAGCCACAATGGCAACCTTCATAACAAAAAAAAAATATCCACAAGCTTTCTAAATACTGAACTAACCACTGTTTTTACTTCTTCAAATATTTTGCTCTCCAACCATATATTGGTACTGTTTATGAAGGCCAGGGATACAGAACATAAAAGCTGTATGTAGCAGTAAAATCCCCATATCCACTAATGCACAGACAGCACAGCTGTTTGTAAAAAGAATATCATTTCTTTTCTTACTCTAGTCTAGTATACCACAAGTCTGAGAAGCTTTTGAATGAGTTCTGTTAATTAGCTATTAAGCAGAGTAGGTGCTTGAAAAGAGGTATCCTGCTGACTCTTCCTTTTGAGAAATCCTTGCATGTCAGCTGATTACAACAATCTAGCAGCAAATAACAGCTTTCTTTTAGTATTTTTTGTTTTCTGTATTTGGTGGATATTATAGTATAACTTCATAACCTGAATTTCTATATAATTTGCTGTTGTATGTTGTGCTAGCACTGCAGTGCAAGCACAAGAGACATTTATTTCCCTTCCTTTCCTGCTGTAACTCTCTGTGCCACCTTAAAAATGACTCTGGAGGATTTATCAGACAGTTTGGGGGGCACATGAGAGGTTTCAAAAGGGAGAAGCCTTTCCTCCATTTCTGCTGTTCCAAGGGGAGTCCAGCATTGGATATGGTCCATGTGAACCAGCGTAAGTGCCTGAACCCAGAAGTGAGCCATCCACTCACTTGTCCAAGGTGGAATAATTCAGCACTGTCTTTACCCTGTTGCCTTCAATCGTTCAAGCTATAGCATTAGGAGAAGAAGGTGAGAATTTGGGAAAAGAAGAAGGCAGGAAATCTATATTGGGAAGAAATCAACCAATAGAGCAGGGCTTTTTGATGACAGAGGAGGAAAAAGGGGGAGACAGACTAGAGGGGATAAGAAGGGAGAAAAGAAGTTGGGGATCAGAAGAGTGGGAAAGACCAGAGGTGGAAGATAGAGAAGAAGATAAGATGATTTCACAAAGTGCTGAAGGGCCCTATGTATTCTCTGTCCCTCATAAAGGGGAGAAAAAGGCCAACTGCTAGAGGAAGGTTCTGAAGGGCCAAGAAGGTGGTGGAATTGAAGCACAACTAGCGGACGTAGAACTGCTAGAATGGACCATCTACGTTTACCAGAGAGGGAAAGGTCCCTGGAGAAAGGTGGTGCATCTGGACCTGATACCAGCTGGCATAACACGACTCAAAGGCGATTGGGCTTGAAACCCACATTGTGCGACTATCTGTGCAGTGAGGAGCCATCCCATGTGGAAACCTACTGATCACAAGAAGTTTGGAATGGCCCCTTGTTAAAGGACACTTTTGAAATGCTGGGATTACACAAGATGTGGCTTGAAACACTGTTGGTTGCCAGTCCCGTTGGACTCACTGAAATTGTTCATACCACTCCATTTAAAGATATTAAACCATTATATAATGCTGTCCCATCTCCTGTGATGATTTTCATAAAGAATGAGGAACTGCCTATCTTAAAATTAGAATCTAATCACATATAGTCTAGTGACCATATTGATCTTTTGTTTCAAGTATAAAAATACTATCATATCAGACAAAAATATTATAATTAATAAGTCATAAAAATACTCTGATTAATAATTAGCAAGTTCTGTTGTTACAAAATAAATTGATTGCAGAACTTGTAGCATGTTCTGCCCTTTTCCTATATACAGACATACATGTTCCCTTGAATTTTTAGAAGCCATTTACCTGCTGTCCTTCAGTGCCTTCTGCTGTGACCATTGCAACAGAATGTGTTCCTGCAGAAGAAATAACTGCATCATGAGCAGGGACTGTAATGGTGGCGTCATGGGCAGGGACTGTAATGGTGGTGCCATCCTGTGTTACCATAGTGATAGTATTTCCAAGAGCCTGCATGTCAGCCTGAGATATGTTAACCTGAAATATAACATTACTTAATTAAACTAACAGCATAATATTTAACTTGTAGACTTTGTTCAGTCAGTAACAGATGATTCTCTCAATGTAACAAAAATAAAAACCAGAAAGTAACAATTAAAATATAAGTTCTATTTTATTTTCTATTAAATTAAAATACAGATTACTATTTTTCAAAATCTCAGTCCACATGAAATTTCGCCCATCTGGTCTAAAAGACCAATCATAAATAACACAGAACTGAAACTTTAACAATAACTTTATTAAACTAAGGTTGATCCCCTACCTACAGAGTCTTCATCTCTTTTACTGTAAGCCAGTGGTTCCCACTCTGTGTGCTTATAGGAGGAACCATGCAAATCATCCCAGCCTTTAACTGCAAAGTTTATGGTTTTGTTCCATATAAACATTACTTTTCAAACATTACCCGTGGCAGACTGAATTCAGTTTTTTTTCCCCCAGCTTTGGACAAGTCCTGTAGAATTGTTTTGGAATGCAAAAGGAATTGGCCAAAATGACCTAATCAGCAGTTTGGGAATGGAAATGGGAAGAGGCCAAGCAAACCTTTAGCCAAAGTGATATTTGCAACCAAATATTCTTATACCATTCTGCAGAAGTGTAACTGGAAGTAGTTTGTGGATCCTAATCTATGGGGTTTTGATAGTCTTGGACTAAGATTCCCCAAGCCTTGATAAACATCAGAAACTCTAAGCTATCTTAATTAAGCCCTTTGGATGTCATGCAATTACATTTAGAGGAACAAGATTGGATTCACTAGTGTGAATCTACTTTTCAAAGGGAGGTAGAAGTGTCTTTTCCTTTGGGGAAATGGAGTGTGAATTCATATGTGCCTCCTGCAGAGGGAATGCAAAGGCTAATTTTTAATTTTTACACTGACAATACTAATTTAATGAGTTGAATAATTTTAGTTTGCTGTGTTGCTAGCAATGAGATAATTAGTTAACTTCTAAGATTTAACAATTTTCAAACCTAACATTACAGGTTCTGTAGAACATCACCATCAACTGCCTCACATACTTCTGGGCCAGAAGTTGTATGTCTGACACTTTAAACCTGAGCACATATTAGAAATACTAATTTATTTTACTGGATATATTAATTAATTTTAATTAATTAATTTCATTTGGAAATTATAATATTTATGGATACAATCAAACAGGTAACCAAGAGGAAACGTAATATTCCAATTCTGAATGACATTTTGCAGGAATGGATTTAATATGGCGAATACTTACATGCTGTGTTCCATCTTGAGAAATGAGTGTGACTTGCTGGCTTAGCCCGGTTTGAGTCACTGTAGCAACTTGCGCAGAAACAACATCTTCTCCTTCTACACCTGTTACATAAGTTATCTGAGATCCTTTAAGAACATCTTCACCTTGACCTATGTAATTAAAGGAAGATTGGTTTAGTGTATTTGTAACTTACAGCAGTGGTTCCAAATTTTCAACTCACAGTTCCCTTGACTTACTGGACACAGGCTGTGACTCCCCCAAAACAATACTTTGGGTGAGGAGAGGAGGAGGGGGAAGCATGGCCTGAAGAGTATCCACAGTATCCCCACCCCTGGCTAGGTTTGGTGAGGCCCTGGGGCATTGCAGCACAGTTTGGGAACTACTGGCTTAAATAAGAGATGAAGACTCGTGAATGCAGGCAGTTTTTTGCGCATGTAAAATAAAACACATACATTGGTTTTATCCTATGCTTACATTATAAACTAAAATGAATTAGAACTATGATTTAGTTTTGTTAAACACTAATCTTTATCTATCAGCATTAGAGCACAAATATTTGATATCTTATTCAAACAATTATTCATTAACTAATCCACTTTTCTTCCAAGGAAAAAGAGAAAGCCTGCATTGTGTAACAAGTAATGAAACAGTATAGTATTTAATTAAATGTTTAACCAAATGTAAACCTTAAATTTAACCTTTCCTTTGTAAATACTGATTAGAACTGGGCAGTTTACTTTAGATGGGATTAAGTGTGTATCTGTGAGTCCCGCTAGACTCCCTCTTCCTGGGGGCCCAGTAGTTGAGTCCCCAGGCAAAAATTCCACGGTCTCCAGTCTGGTTTTGTCACTCACAACAGCTTTTATTAAAGACACAGAGTCAGCCCCAACTACCCCTCAAATTCTCAGGGAGTTGAATTTATGTCACTAACCCCCCTGGACACAGTCCATCCAACTGGGGCTGATTCCTTGCCTCAAGTTGTGAAGAGTTGCTGTGGAGTCAAAGGTTGGAGAGCTGAATCCCGCTGAATATGTTGATTGGGATCAGGACAACTTGAGTTGAGTCCATGATAACAGATTTTGCAGGGGCTTTGCAAATGGAGAAGAGCAATGGGGAGGGGTTTCCTCTAAAATAATGTCTACAGCTTGCAACAAATTCTCCCAGAGAAATAGCTTAAGTCTGGGTTGCCTATTCTTAATAGCAATTGTAGTACACTTTTTACAAATTGGGCAAGATTCTGTTTGATGGGATTCTCCTAAGCAGTATAACTTGGAATATCTATCTGTAAGTGGGATCTTATTCTTACAGGATACACAGTTTTTAAATGGGGCTGAAGAGGCCATAATAGGACATGAAAAATGGAGGAACAGTTGAAGATTTTTTTAATGCAACCAAGGAGAAAAACATCTTTGTTTTTCCGTAAAGAAAAGGAGGCGGCTGACAACAATTTAAAACAAGGTAAGAACAACATTTACATTAAGTATGGTGAAAAGGAGGCTCTGGACAACCAGTGGGATGCTGATTCAATGATAGGTGAAAAGGAATTGAATGGTAGCTGTTGGGAGGCTGAGCATGCACTGTGTGTTAGCGTGGGGGTATCAATCTTCAAAGGGTGTTTGTGCAGGCACAGAACAACCCATTGGTGTGAATCACAGGTACCATGAAGAACAGTTTTTTAATACAGTACATATAAAAACTGAGTCTACAAACAAACATTAAAATATAAAATGTATATATACAGTATGTCCAAGGAAACCAATCCTGTAATAACTTAGCTCATTAATTAATGGCCACTACTTCCAATTTATGAAACTTAATAGCAGTTGTCCAAAGACTCGCCAATCTTCTAGTCATGTTCATATTATGACCAGATAATAAATAAGCTAGTTGTTGCTTCTCCCTGGTAGGCACGGAAAAACAAGAATTATGTTTGACTGGTGCAGATCCTGGGAAGAGTGGGCAGTGCAACAAGACATGCCACACTGTTTCTGTATCTCCATTCTCACAGGGACATACTTATTCTTGACATATTGTTCCTCTAACATGTCAGGCAAAAACAAAAGAAAATGAAAAAATAAAGACAACAATGTTGTGGCACCTTAAAGACTAACTGCTATATTTTAATATGAGCTTTAGGTCTGAGGCATTTAAACTAGTTCTTCTAAATTCTCCATCTAATGGAGCAGAAGGGGGCACATTAAATCTTGCCTTGGTGTACAAGGATGTGTAGGCCAGACAAAGATTTTTAAGCCAAAAGTGCTCTCCCACAATCTCTATATTCCAAGTATCTTGAAGCTGTACTGTTTTTATAACTCTGCATATCCAATTCTTTGTTGGATTATCATTTTGGGCTTTCAGTGCCCTAGTGCTGTTAAGCTACAAGATGTAAAACCAAGATTACAAAAGTTGTTGTGGAGCATAATTTTCCATTTTGACAGATACATATCAGTTAAATTCTGCAGGGCCAATTCACCAGGAAAGAAAAACAGTTTTAATTTTCTAACAGCTATTGGCCATGATGCTAAATAGCATTTCTATGTTCAGAGGTAGCGTCATCCCCAATATCAAGCTTGTACAGAAGACACTTGCCTCCATACTGTATGTTTGAAAGAATAACTGGGCTCACTCCTGCAATTCTAAGTGATTGCCAGAGACTTGCTAGAGCCAATTAAAGCATTTGAACTGCCAGAACTAATTAAAATATTTTAAATGGCGAAGGGTTAGATTTTTTAAAAATTAACCTGTAGTAAAAATAAGATATTTTTATTCACTCACTGGTTCCCACGTCAAATGCAGGGTACTAAAACAACATTATTTTTAATTCATTGGGATTCCAGGCACTTTGAATGGGCCTTGCTAGAGAGATTTGAATATGCTCAATCTGTAACCTATAGCTAAAAGGCTGCACAAGTCAGGTAACTGGATTGACAAGATTAAATAAATAAATAAATAACAATAACAACAGCAGCAGCAGCAGCAGCAACAACAACAACAACAATCCAATCCCTGCTTCAAGGAATATTTTTCCAACCAAACCTTTATAACAGATTACCCCATACAATGGAAGAACGTGCTCTTTCTAAAGCATTTACTTGGCTTAAATGGTAGGCACAAAGAAAGGTTTTACAATCTTAGTTCCAGTGCTTTAGTTCCCTATTTGTTATTTGCAAGGTCTCACATGTGAGATTACTATTATGAGACGAACATGAACAGTGACAATCAATTACAAACCTGGAGGTGGTTCAAAAAATGTTTCTTGCTCTTCTTCTATTGGTTCAGTGTCATTGTGCGCTGTCCGCTTGTGCATTGCAAGTGTAGAAATTTGTTTGTATGTTTTCCCACAGTGATTACAGTTATACGGTTTGGAATGTGTATGTACAACATGGTGTTTATATAAACTGGAATATTCTGTAAACCGTTTATCACATCCTGGGACTGTACATACATAAGGCTTCTCTCCTAGACAGAATGACACAAGCAGAAAGAACACTGAACATGCTGAGATGGAAAGACTGGCAACTATTCTGCCACTGAAACAAAATTGTTCTGACATTTCAAAATTATTCTTATGCAGAGACTCCCTCACTTAATCATGAAGCTTGCACCACAGTAACTCTGTTTACTAAATTTTACCAAATAACATTTGGTGGGTATTCTTGTCACTTCTATCCAAAGCTGCATACAATATGTACAAACCACCTGTCTATACTATTACTCTGCATTATTAGTCTTGTAGTTTTTGTAATATTGACATATGAACCAGCATGCTATGTAATATTTATGCATGCAGAACTCCAACTATACAATCTCCCCTCCCAAGGCTGTGAGCAATGGCACCTCTTCAGATCACCACAGCAGTTGCTGTAGCTGGAATTCCATGTGTGCAAATATCAGTGAGGATCCTGGCCATGTGAAATGACATCAAGCCAGTTATGCTGCAGCACACAGAACCAGGAGGAGGTAGTCTCTATGTTTCCTGAAGCAGACTTATTTTGAAACATGCTTATGCTTCTGATAATCTTAAAAACAAAACATATCTTGCTCCGTTTATTTATGATTCAGTATTCTATTTACTAAAAGGTACTCATTCCAATCTACCAGAGTCCATGTCAACAGGTGAACTTCAGCACACTACAGACCACACCTCTCCTTTTTAAAGTTTCCTTCCAACTGAAGACCTCTCACAATCTCTTTTTTTAAGAGAACTAAAATCATCCCCTTCCCTAGACTATTCTGCTCCTAGACTACTTCATCCTTGACCCCTCCCTTTCTAAGATCTTCTGTTTGCCCTGCACCTCTGCAGAGTGTTGATACTGGAAGTGGTTCTTCATGGTGGAAGTGTTGTAACACCTTGGAGTATAAGGGTGTGAGACTGATGGGACCTGTAAGGATGTCGGACACCCTAATCTGGATGGAGGGGTCAGAGTATTGATAAGTGGGACACTGCTTATGCCTCAGCTGTGGCTGGGAAGAGAATGAGTCAGGGAGGATGCCAAGATGCACTCCAACACCAGAAGCATTCAAGAGAAAGTTAAGACAGACACCTGTCAGACATACTTTGATTTGGATTCCCGCACTGAGCAGGGGTTTAAACTCTATGGCCTTATAAGCCCTCTTCCAACTCCATTATTCTATGACAGTGGTTCCCAACCTGGGAAACCCAGGTTTTGTTGGACTGCAATTCACAGAGGTCTTCAACACAGCTGTACTGCCTGGGGTTTCTGGGAATTGCAGTCTAAGAACACCTGGGTTACTCAAGGTTGGAAACTACTTTGTAGTTTCCTCGGGCACGCAGCTTGTTGTTGTGCTCGAGTTTGCTATCTGTCCTGTCACTGAATAGGCCCTTCTAATAAAAGGAGAAGTCTTATAAGCTGGAGCATGCATCAGAATCAAGACCAGACAACCTGAGCTAAGCATGTCACCATAGTGACATCAATTCTGCGAAAGGGATGTATCTCACTGTGCAGCTGAACTGGCTGCATGGTATGCCGTTTTGATTTGCTGAGCTGTGAAGAGGTAAGCCTCTGACTGGAACAGGAAGGTTATCTTACACTGCTCTGCCCATGAGTTGTTGAACATTGGGGAAACTTCTCCACAAGAACTGAGTGCTCATGCAGCTGGCATAGCCTGCAATCCTCAGGGACAGGGCAGCCAAAAGGCAGATGCCTCCCCCCACTGCACTGAGCCTTTTCCTTTATGGTCAGTGTAGGCTGACTAATGTTTGGCCTTGTCTTTTGCTGCATGTACTATGATAAGAGTCTGGAACAGCATGTTTGAACTCTGAGTCCTTCTGGACATGGTTGAGGCAGTCAATTTTCTAAGAGGTTGGTAGTATGGAAGATAGTACAGTGGTGCCTCGCTTAACGGGCGCCCCATTTAACGCCGAAATCGCATAACGACGAACTTTTTGCGATCACTTTTGAGATCGCGTTGTGATGTTTTAAATGGGGAAAAATCGCTTTGCGATGATCGGTACCCTGTTTCGCTTACTGATTATCGCAAAGTGATGATTTCCCCCCAGCTGATCGGCGGTTCCAAAATGGCCACCGGGTAAAAAAAATGGCCACTCACTGTGTTTAGGGATGGATTCCTGGCTTACTGGGCAGCGAAAATGGCCGCCCTATGGAGGATCTTCGCTTAAAGGTCAGTTTTAAGCCCATAGGAACGCACTGAAGGGGTTTCAATGCATTCCTATGGGCTTTTTTAAATCGCACAGCGACGAAAGCACTTTGCAGCGATTTTTGCTGCACCGATTAACGTCGCTATGGGAGGTACCACTACATTTGTAAAAACTGCTTGATGACATGGAATAAGAACAGGAGCACTGAGACTGCAGCTTGAATTTGCACACTTTGGATCTGATGGTGTCTGTACCTCGAACTTCCAAGGCTGATGCCATGCATATCAACTGATCTGAAAAGACCCTTATGTCCTCCAGGGAGTGGGTTAGTCCAGGGAGTGGGTTAGGCAGGAATGATTTCAAGGGTGGGATAAGTTGAATTCAAAATCATCCAAATCTGAAGGATCTGCCCAATGTCTAGAGAAAGTGACTGTTTGCCTAATGTGTTGTGGCCCAGTCCTGGCTGAAGGACCATGAGTGGTACCACAGACCTTCTAGGTAACATGAAGAGTAGGAATGTTTGGTCACAATAGGAGATCAACAGTCCCAACTGTAAGAAGGAAAAGAATGTAAGGAGATAAGTGTTGATTATCTCACACAGAGTGTTTGATTTGAGCACCTGCTGGGTCACATAGACTTTTGGAGGAGAAAAACTGCCCTATCCCACAATAACTGAGTGTCACATTTCTTTCAGCCTTGAGGCTCTCAAGTGTGTTAGTGCTTGCAAACCTGGGTGTTGTGACTTTCACTGAAGCAAAGAAGATACTTTGTGCACCCATCTGACAATGGGACCTAAAATACATTTGAACAAAGGGGAAGGTGCCATGGGCTCATGAGTGGTATAATTATACCAGATGGGCGGGATATAAATCAAATAAATCAAATAAATAAATAAATAAATGAAGGTGGGAGGTCGCAAAGCTGTTGGGCTAGTTAGGGTAAGATGAATGAACTAACTTCTCTCTCTCTCTCTCTCTCTCTCTCAAGTGTAAGCAAACTGATAAATAAAGATGGAAAATCTACAAACATGACATGAGACAGGAACAAGCAGCTCCTGGATGTATGCTGCCTGTTTGACAGGCAAAAAGGCATTGAGGGAATTAAGAGGGAGATGAAGGAATATGTACAGTGAACATGGATGGGACTCAACCATAAGAAAATTCCAGAACATACCATATGTGCAGGAAAAGCTGTGTGTGCAAGTCCGCAGAGGCCACAAAGAAGAAAAAGCAGCTGTAAGGAATAGGTGGACTGCAACTATGCCATGTTGTGAGAGGGTGTTAATCTGTAGTAAATATCAGTAATAAGAGAACTTCTGCAGGGAAAGCTAGCGGATGCAGAAAAGGCTTAAAGCCCATCTCAACTTTTCAGGCACCAAGATCCCTGATCATATCTGTTTGCACCTTCTTAAAAATAAAGTGGCTGCTGCTAAGTATGCTTTTAAAATGTGTGCTTCACAGGAATTAGACTTTTGTATTTTTCAAACTACAAATTCTACAATTCTCCATTCTGAGAGTTCTACCTAACATACATATTACGGACAATTAAAAGTAGTTTTCTTGGGAGAAAGCTCTTCTGGAAGGCCCTGAGGCTGAACTAGGCCTAGCTCCACCCAAGCTTCTTGTTCCTGCCCCAGTGCTCTCTGAGAACCTTCTTTTTCGACAGAAAGTTTGGATGGAGCTAGGCCTAGCTTTGTCTCAAATCCTTCCAGTTGAGGCCTTTCTTCCAGGTAAGCCACATTTGGGTATTTGTAAGATAATCTGTCAGACAAAACTCCCAGAACAGAGAATCTGTAGTCGAAAAATCCTTAGTGCTTCATATAATGTGCAGTTTGGCTCTGGGTGTGCCTTATTTATTCTACTCCCCAAAAATTGAGCAAATCAGAAGATTGCTGTAAAGTAACATTAAACCAGTAAGGTTCTATTAGTATCAACAAAAACTGTAATTATCAAATCTCAGACAGTAATACAAAAATTACACATTCTAGACCAGGGCCTTGTTGACGTACTAAACAATACAACTATATTTGAATCAGCCTGTCACCATGAAACAATCAAGTGCTGGATCAAGTGCATATATTCTCAACTGCTTCATAATTTTCACCCAGACCAGTCTGTGAACCTCAGAAGTTTGTGATTGTTCAGTATTTAAGATTTACCATTAATCCAGCCATCTTTGAGCTAGCCCTCTGCCTCTAATATAGAAATTGCAATTGTAATATCTGAAGTTTTTTTCCATTGCCTCCAATCATAATCAGAATACATCTTGAATTAATATTTGTTGAGACTTGAGTGAAGTGTTTTGTTTTGCATTTTCATACAAAGTCTTCAATGCATTACTTCTGAAGTGCAATTGAGCAAATGGCTTAAGACGGATTAGTACACTCAAAATACTACAATATGTAATTTCAGTACCTGTATGTATTCTCACATGATTCTTGTAATTAGTTGCACTGGCAAATGCTCTTCCACATCCTGGCTCTGTACAATAATAGGGCCTTTCCCCCGTATGTGTCCTGATGTGAACCTTTCTGATGTTAGATGTTGTAAAGGATCTACCACATCCTTCAAAGGGGCACTTGAAGGGTCTTTCACCTAAGACCAAAAATAAAGATAGGCAAAAGAATAGGCATTTTGATAAAAAAGCATCTTATGTAACAGAACTGCATTATGCTAAACTTTTGGTACTTTGTATTTTACTAAATAGACCTCTTCATACATTAATCAGTTTTTGGAGGGATTCAATTAATCTCTGTTCCTAATACCTGGCTTGTAACTGTGTCCACAAAACTGATTATAGGTGTAATCTTAAAACACCAGGAAGTAAATCTCTTTGAAGTCAGCTGAAATTACTTCTTAATAAACAGTTTCACTCTGTGCATATTCAGATGTGAACATACTGGCTACAATCCACAAACTAATGTGCAAATGAACTGACTATATGAATGTTGTTCTCCGTTTATTTTTTAGCAATTCTCTTCATTTCTGTCAAACAACAAAAGATGCTCATAAAAACACACAACACCCATTTTTAAATAACCGGGAAGCAGATTCAGAAAATAAACAGTTGATAAAAAAAACTTTGATGTGTGCATGTGCTTCCTCCCCTAATTTATAGTAAAAATGCCCAATATATACACAGAAAGGGTCAGAGGTCTACTTATGAACTATCCAGCTAACTTGATTATTTAATTGTTTATGGAAGATAAATAATTCACCAAAGGTAATCAAAAGTTCATTTTGATACCTAACAAAACATTTTTAAAACTGGAGAGCAGATCTTGAGGCAAATATTACATAGAAAATGCACAAATCCTTTTAAACAAATATATTTCTGCTGTTTCTGAAATCAAGGAGCAAATTCTTTAATTATTAAGCACAATCCAAGACATACACAATATTTAACTCTCCNNCCCCACAGATCTCTTCACTCAAAGCTTTAAGTGTCTTCAAAGGTTTGGACTGGTTTGTCACAGAGCATGAACAGGTGCTGCTTGAGAAAGAAAAGGCACTTCTGCATAGTTCTCTAGATTGTGGACATGGCAATAGTTAAGCAAAGATTAATTATTCATATGTAGTACAGTGCTACATATTGGGGTTGGAAACTGTCCTTTAACTGTTGTTGGATTACAATTCCCATCAGCTTTAGCAAATGTAGGCAGTGTGAGGGAAGATGGAAGTTGTAATCCAACAATATCTGGACGGCCAGATATTCCCTCTTGCTAGTATACAAGAGCAAATTTCTAGAATCACACACTCTCATGCATCTAAAAACATGTTTGCTTTTTTTTACTTACACATAACTATCTTATACATGGTTAAAACCCTACTATTAGTATTATATTGCTGGCCTACCCTCATGCTGCTGTGCTGTATTTTCTCATGTGCTTTTGGCTAAGAACTGTCGAGTCTCTGTATACTGTCATGCCACAGAGAAGCCTATGAAGGATGGGTGAAAGCACAATTTTTATAATTCAATGAATTATTAATATGTTTTAAAACACCCCTCTGTTACTATATAACACATTCCAAATAGTCCCAAAATGATATCTCTGAGAGGGAACTATTAGCTTCTTGGTAGTAGAAGTCTGTAATAAGTTTGCCAATTTTCTGCCAAAAAGATATATCAGTTTTTCAGTGTACATACTATAGTGTTATGTTGTCATAGTTTCCCTAATCCTTACCGAACAATAGGTATCATAATGCAGGCAGAAAATAAACGAACTACACTTTAATCCATTTAGTAACAACTCTTCCTTAAAGCCAGTCTTTAGTGAAAACTTAACAAATGGAACTTCACAGGAATGTCACATAACCTGTTTGTAAATCCTGTCCTTGATACATATCAGTTTTTTTAAAGAGAGCAAGTGGCTGGGATATGATTATATTACAAGCTAGAAGAGCTATTTCCTAGAAAAAAATAGATCTTAAAAAAAGCACATTCATCCTTCTCATTACCAAAAGCCTTCTTTTTCTCCAAAGATAATCCACTGTAGTTTCCAACTAAAGAACTCCATTAAATTCATATAAAGCAGGAAAGTACAATCCTCCAGATGTCGCTGAACTGAGTCAGCACAGGTAGTAATAAGGAATGCTAGAAATTGCAGACAGCCATTGTATGGAGGAATGCACCTTGCCTACTCAATACGAGGTAGATGTTTGTGGAATAGTGGGACGTAAAGCAAAAAAGCATTTAATTGGTGGGAGTCTGATGCTGAATTCTTACTATTCATGCTTTTTGCTTAGAACCCTCCTCCCCCTCATTTGCTTTCAGTGGGGCTTTAAAACTGGAAGCAAACCCTGCTGGAAGAAAAAGATTTGAGGAGAGGATCTTCGAGAGGAAAAAGCAGCAGGCACAAACTTCTAATTCTGCGTTTTAAACTGTCCCTACCCCAACTTTAGACACAGGTTATGCTGCCATAATGAGTTAGCTCAAAATCTTTAGGAACAGTAGGAAGATGAAGACCTGAAAATGGAAATATGAAGCTGGCAGCATTATGAAAGACAACTTGAGGCACATATATGACTGATACTTGTATTTGGTTCATCAAAATGGTAAATTTAGAGATCCAAGAATAAGAGCCCCTTCACATATTAACTTTTACATTTACATAAAAGTATGAAAGGAACACATCTAAAAAACTAATGAATTAATGTAACAAGAGATATGTCATACTTGAATTTAGAGATGCACAGATGCATCCATTACCTGTCAGCACAATCATATGCCCTTACTAATAGGAGGGGTGGTCCAAACAGGTTTTAACTTTTAAACTAGTTCTTGGATTGACACCTTATTTGGCAGAGTAATAGTTCATAATATGCACTTGTTTTATGCCAAATTTGAAGAAGTTTAGACAAATACCGTATTTGCCGGCGTACAAGATGACTTTTTGGCCCTGAAAAACATGCCGCCAAGTGGGGGGGGTTGTCTTATACACCGGGTGCACTTCCAGCAAGCCCTCCCTCTCTCCCAGCGAAGTCACTTACCTGGAAGTAAGACTGAGTAGACCTAGCCCGCCCCTCCTTGGTAGCCTGGGAACAGCCTGACTCTAGCACCGAACAGCTGACTGTCGGGAACCAGCAGAGAGGCGGCAGCCATTTTGAGATGACCACATGGCTGCTGCCTCTCAAAATGGCTGCCGCCTCTCTGCTGGTTCCCGACAGTCAGCTGTTCGGTGCTAGAGTCAGACATGGCTGCTGCCTCTCAAAATGGCTGCCGCCTCTCTGCTGTTCCTTCTTCCAGCAAACCATGGCTCTCTCCCAGTGAAAGGAACGAAAAGCGGCAAAACGAACTCTCCCCATGATGCAGCCAAAGCAGAATCACGCATGCGGAAGAGGGGTAGTCTTATACATCAAGTATATAACAAACTCTACATTTTGAATGGAAATATTGGGGGGGTCGTCTTATATGCCCAGTCGCCTTATATGCCGGCAAATACGGTACTGTTACCAAGAGGGTTTTTTAGCGAGTACGAACCACTCCTTGAACATCTCATGTAAGCTCCAAAAATCCTATTAGTCACAATAAGTTGGAAGGGACACAATGGCACATAAAGCAAGCCAGGTCTAGGATTATTATTATTATTTAATTAATTTATACCCCACCTATCTGGCCCACCGGACCAGGATGGTACCTGTCTTTGGGGGTAAACTCTTACCATGATTTGGGGATGTTTCTCCCCTTATGTGCAGGATGACACTGTCAGCCTGCTGTGTTCTGTCATCCTTTTGAGAGAGGGAGTGAATTTATATTGTATTCGCGAAGGCTTTCACGGCCGGGATCTAATGGTTGTTATGGGTTTTTCGGGCTTCTTGGCCGTGTTCTGAAAGTGGTTCTTCCTAACGTTTCGCCAGTCTCTGTGGCCGGCATCTTCAGAGGACAGCCCAATTTATATTCCTTGGTGTACTTTAGATTATCTAGCTGTGGAGCCAAAGATTGGGAGTTTGATTCCCCACTGTGTCTCCTTGACAGGGGCTGGACTTAATAATCCATAAGGTTCCATCCAGCTCTGCAGTTCTAGGATTTTAACACTTCTAACCATTACCTAGAATCATAGTTTCAGTTCCATTCAGTGGATGCGACTATTACGGGAAGGGGAAGCAAATTAGACAAAAAGAACAGGAAAGCTGTCTAACTGTCAATTTGTGGTTCTTTTCCCCAAACATTTTCAAGATGGTGGTAAAAATTTTGATCTGCTTTTCAGAGGAAGTGCTAAAAACTATTGAAACCATACAGCTTCTTCAGATCTAAAATTTATGAGGGAGTCTGGAAAGACAAGATAAATAAGGACACAGGAATAGACTTAAGAATCCATTATTATTTCTAATAAGGGAAAAAGAAACAAAAGCTTTACTGAGCATGGTTATTCAAACGAATTTCCTCCTGTCAGAAAGTGCCATCTTAACTAACATAAATTTCAACAACCACAGGCCAGATTGGCTCTAAAGAAAGAAAATACTGTACAGTGGACCCTTGACTTACAGACGGCTTGACTTACAGACTTTTTGAGTTACAGACTTCTCTGGCCGTAAAATTTAGGTTTGACTTGCAGACTGAGATTTGACTTACCGACCAGAAAAAAAACAAAATGGAACAAAAATGGCCTGTTACGGGATTAATCAGTTTCCAATGCACTGTAGGTCAATGGAGACTTGACTTACAGACTTTTTGACTTGAGAACCGCCTTCCAATACGGATTAAGTTCTCAAGTCAAGACCCCACTGTATGGGAAACAATCCTCTTTTTACAATAATCAAGATTCATGTTTTTATTTTGGGAATTTACTGCCTGCTAATGGTCCCTTAATGTGTGAATGGAAAGCAAATAATTTTTTTAAAATTAAAACTTTAAAACTATCTCCAAATTTGGTATAGAACAAGACCAGATTGCAATGCAATCCTCTATGTGTCTATACAGACATAAGCCCTGTTGATAATAATTGGATTTGCTTCCAGATATATACAGGACTGTAAATGTACACTGAAATGGGGTTGCTAGAACAGGGAGAAACTCAGGGAGAAACACTTACCATAAAGTTACATGAATATTTCAAACTGTGATAAAAGAAATTCCATTAAAATCCCTTTTCTCTACTAAATGCAGCTAATGGCTTCACCAATATGTCAGTTACCTGTGTGTGTTCTGATGTGTTTCTGTAGGTCTCCTGAAGTCTTGAAAGATTTTGTGCAGTTCTCCTCTGAGCAACTATATGGCTTCTCTCCAGTGTGAGTTCGGACATGACTTTTTAGTCCATAACCTTGAAAAAGATTTTATGAATGCTTTTAATCTACAAACTACCTGAAATCCTAAGGTTGTTCAGAGTAAAACTGACTGCAGTTTAAATTACTTCTTAATCTTCCACTTAAAATGTAATGGATTCCGTAATCTAATTTCATATTTTCTTCTTCTTTGAAGGCTAGCATCGTTGGAGTACAGTATTTCTTCCTCTTTATTAATAATAACTTTTAAAAATGTCAACTGTGTAATATTCATAAATCATTGCTCAAGCACAAAATGATGTAATATCTTCTAAAAAGTCTCAGAGATTTTTATATTTGTTCTTATTAAATAAAATGTTCTCTTACTTATATTACTGTAAAAATTGTCAGAAGAAAGTTAGTAGCAAATTCTTATTAAAAAGGCACAGTGTAAGGAAAGCCACACCCCTACCTGTTGCAAATGCTTTCCCGCATCCTGGATGTTCACACTGATATGGTCGATCTCCTGTGTGAGACCTTTCATGCACCTGTTGAAGGATTCAAAATACCAACACTGTAAAATGCATTCTCTAACATAATGTAGTACAGTAGGTCCTCAACTTACAAGCATCCCTACTTACAAAAATTTCAAGTTACGAGAAAGCCGCAAAATTTTGCTTCAACTTGCGGCCGGAGCTTCTAGTTACGAACAAAAAACGGCAGGGAAAAAAGGCGGGGAATTCAAACCGTTAGTGGTGAAGAGGCTGCTTTTCACCCCAACAGTTAGGAAACGGGAGGCTCAGCCTCCTGGGCTTCCAACACCGCCCCAACCGCTGCGCCAGGTGCCGGTGCTTTGGAAGCCCGGGAAGCTGGCACTCAGTGTGGCGTTTGTGGCACCCTGCGGCTTCCAAAGCTGTCCCCGCTGCTCTCTGCCTCCGGCCCCGCTGCAGGACAGGAGGCAGAGGACAGGGAGGTGTTGGAGGCCCAGGAAGCCGAAAGCTGCCCCGACCTCCACAGCGAGTGCTGGCTTCCCAGGTTTCCAAAGCTGCACCCGCTGCCCTCTGCCTCCTGTCTCCGCGAGGACAGGAGGCAGAGGGCAGCAGGGACAGGAGGCAGAGGGCAGTGGGGGGGGGCTTTGCAAACTTGGGAAGCCAGCACCCAGCACGGAGGTTGGGGCGGCTTTCTGGCCTTCCAAAACCAACCCGACCACCACGCGGGGTGCCGGTGCTTTGGAAGTCCGGGAAGCCTCCGCATCAAATTTTTGGAATTTTTTTTTTTTGCAGCCCCAGGGGCTTACAGTGTTTTATTTTTATTTTTTGTAATTTTTTTTCTTTGGCTGGAACAGATTACAGTGGTGCCTCGCATAACGTTTGCTTCGTTTAACGTTTTTTTTGCTTAACGTTTATTTTTTCAGAGTCAGATTGTGCTTCGTATAACGTTTTTCCCTATGGGCGAGTTTCACATAGCGATTTTAGGACCATGCTTCGCTTAACGTTTTTGGTTTTAGGTCCCCTGCTTCACTTAACGATGTTCATTTTTTCAATTACAAAAGTGTCTTAACATGTTGAAAAACGGTTTTAAATGCTTGGAATCGTTAGTGCACCTTCTAAAATGTGTGCATACTTAATTTGGCGTTGATCTGACTTTTCGTTAATTTTTTGTGAATTTTTTTCTCCCCCATAGGAAACAATGGAGCTGTCAGATTTTGACAGCTGTCAAAAGTTGGGGGGGGGGGAATTCAGCCTAAATTAACGAAAAGTCAGATCAAAGCCAAATTAACTTTTGCATCCGTTTTAGAGGGTGCAGAAGCTAATCCAAGCATTTAAAACCATTTTGACCCTTTTATGATACACTAAAATTTGCAAAAATTGACTTCGCAAAGCCATTGAAATGTATTGAGTCGGCTTCAATACATTCCAATGGAGGAAACATTGTATCGTTTAACGATGTTTCCTATGGGTTTTTTCGCGTAAGGACGCCAATCCGTGCCTATTGGAACAGATTAACCGGTTTCCAATGCATTCCTATGGGAAATGGTGCTTCGACTTACAAAATTTTCAAGTTACGCCCACCGTTCCAATATGGATTAATTTCGTAAGTTGCAGCACCACTGTATTTGATTATCACTGAAAGCAGCATTAAATCTTCCCAAAGACCCCTAGCTTACAATAAGACAAGGCTAAAGACCCTATGACAAGTGGAAAGTTGGAGCAAGACAAGACAAGGCTAAAGTCCCTATGACAAGTGGAAAGTCCCTATGACAAGTGGAAAGTTGGAGCAAGACAACGTGGTCACACTTGGCACCATGAATTAACCCCGCAACTCATTTCTCCTGGCCAATCTGGCTGCTGTCTCAAACACTTAGTATTCTGTAGTGTGTGTGGAAGGTGTTCAACAGTTGTTTACCTCCTCAAGTATAGTGCAAGATTGAGGCATCAGACATGCAAAGAATCTTAGTGAGGAAAGCAGTTATTAATGGTATCTATATACTGACTATCTTTCATTACTGTGAAAGAAATATCTGTAGCATTTAAAATACTTGCAAAACTATATAAAGTATATATTGGCCCAAATCTTACTGCAATAATTTATCCTAGCAGAAGCCAACAAATCATCATCTGGTGCTAGTAAATTTTAATTTGAATTAACTGAAAGTTTCCTATACCCCTCCCACTATTTCAGGTCCCTAGGTTCCCTGAGGAACCCTTCATTTGTCAAAAATTGTCACCAGACTGCTGTCACCAGTATTGGATTTGCTGATGGTAATCTGGTGGCGACTTTAGGCTATTAAAAGCTCCATCCTCACAAATCCCAAGCCTTCCCCAGAACAAAAAGGAGTCATAGGGATCTTCCAGAACTGAAATGGGTATGGGAAGGAAACTTTAAATCAATTTAAATCACATTTTATAAATGCTGGATAATATCATCATCTAGTGAATTACTTAATGTGTCAGAAGGCATGAACCCCTGTACAGTGGTGCCTCGCTTAACGATGATAATCTGTTCCAGGAAAATCGGCATTAAGCAAAAATATCGTAAAGCAAAAATAATAACCCCATTGAAACGCACTGAAACCCGTTCAATGCATTCCAATGGGGTAAAAACTCACTGTCCAGTGAAGATCCTCCATGCGGCGGCCATTTTTGCTGCCTGTATAGCGAGGAATCCGTCCCTAAACACAGCGGGGAGCCATTTTAATCACCCGGTGGCCATTCTGAAACTGCCGATCAGCCGTTAAAAAAAAAAGTTTTGCAAAGAATCAGTTCCCAAAGCAGGGAACCGATCATTGCAAAGCGAAATTCCCCCATTTCGACCATTGTTTTGCGATCGCAATCGCAATCACAAAAAGATCGTCATAAAGCGGATTCGTCATAATGCAGGGCAATTGTTAAGCGAGGCACCACTGTATTAAGTGTTCAGCTTAAAATATCAATCTATCTAATTTTGTAAGACTTCCATTTATAAGAATAACTAGAAGTCTGGGACATTATTTCAATAATTACCTTGAGATGATGAGCAGTAGTGTACAGTTTCCCACAACCATCATAGTCACACCGAAAAGACTTGTCTCCACTGGACTGTGACTTAGAAGTCACTCTTGTGCTGTGGCTTTGCAAGACAATCTAAGAGGAAAGATATGACAGCATGAACATTTTATTTCTACATATATACATAGGAAGTCTATAAGAGAAAATATGCTAGTGGACATACAGTCCACTGAAATGCTATATGGCACCTGGATCTTCATATTTTCCTAAAGATTTATTATCCATTGACCAGAATTCTGTTACCTATGCCACTGACACAAGGCGATTTGCTGCTAGTTCAGAAGTTGCCATTTACTTTTAGTGAAACATATCAGTTTTGTGACATGGTATATGACAATAAATGGTATAGAAACACATAATTATATACATGCACACATTTATAAGTGGGCAACGCATTGGCCTGAATTAAACTGTATATTTTCACTGCATATCAGTGCTGTAATTTCAGCAGTGAATTGCTGCAAGCTGAGAAGTCAGAAAAGACACCTATTGCACCCTAAGTAATGTGATTGGTATGTAGTGAAATGCCAATGTCATTTGTTTATAATAATATTATGCATCCTATGCACTGTCATTCTTCTCTCAAGAAACAGTTGCTGGAAGGAATTCTGCAATAAAATATGAGACAGTGTGTGATACAAAATTCCAAGCAGTAGCAGAAAAGGACAAAAGCTGATCCCACAGCCATAAATACTGAACTCCCAAACAAACTGCACCAGAGCACAGAGTGCTACTCCTGTCCTCTGAAGATGCCGGCCACAGAGACTGGTGAAACATTAGGAAGAACACCCTTCAGAACATGGCCAAAGAGCCCGAAAACCCCACAACAACCAGTAGCAGAAAAATTCAGGAAAATAGGGATATTGCCATGCACTAGTGCTTAATTTTCTAAAATGAGAGGGGCCAAAGGAGGAAAATATTATAACATAGAATATAGTCCACAAAAAGTTAATCAGTCCGGTCAACCTTTCCACCCATTCCTTGATAGACAATTGGGTAGAATACTGCTTTCATATTTCTCTGTAAAGAAAATCACTAAATACTTAACTCTGTTTAAACAAAAAATTGAATTTTTAAGCGGTGGCTTGGTACCCCTCCAAAGGGAATTGCTACTTTTGTAGTTACAGACATACATTCAAAGAAAAAATGCTTAAGTCATCAGATGCAAGAATGATGACATGTGTACACTGATGTATATATTATATCAGAGGTCCCCAACCCCTAGTCGCGGACCAGGCTGCAGAGAGAGACCTGCCCCGCCCCCACACGCACTCACCCTGCACAACCTGATTGCGCCTACATGCAAACACGTGGCCGCTTGAGCACTGTGCCGCCCTTCGCGCATGTGCACAAGCGTGTGCCCACACCAGTGCTGTGCTGCCCTTCGTGCATGCACACCAGTGCTGTGCCGCTCTTCGCGCATGCATGCAAGCATACGCATGCGCCTTCACGCATGTGCATGAACTTGGGGGTGCCTCACTTTCCCCAGCCAGTCCGCAGGGCTAAAATGGTTGGGAACCGCTGTATTATATGTATTCCTTAAGAAGCAGAAAACATATTCCTGTGATGAATGAAGCTACAGTGTGGAGATTCCCAGACCTGAAAGTCTCACTGTCCTCTAACCCCTTTATCAGAGCTTATCAAGATCCAAGTTGATATTTTTAAAAGAGAAAATAATTAAGATAAAAAGAAGTGACATACACTTTATGCTTTAAGAAAACATGGAATTCTGGGAAATATCTGCAGATACTATCATGTAGGTCCCGCTAGAATTCTCAGTTTTCTAGCCAAACTGGAATGCATTTTGTAGTTATAGAAAGAGAAAAACATAGTGGAAAAAGACAGAGTATGCTACTGTTGCACCAGCTAAACTATGTGTTATATACCTGCATTTTTTTGTCTTGTTCACCATCACCTATCATTCCAGAACTACTAACATTATCACTTCCATCAATAGACACCTGAAAATGAAGAAAAAAGCAGAAAACAACTCAAAATGAAGTTACCAGCAAAAATCCAGTGACACTACTAGAGTAGGCTCAATGAATCAATGGACATTACGGAAAAGGTGACTCACCACATTCCCACGGATTCTAGTTTGCAACTTACAACTGTATTTCACCCACTGCATGCTTTCCAACTTCATTTAAATATAAAACCTCCATGATAACAACAGTAACATAATTAAATATTTCTATGAAATAAATTAAGTACCAGATCCCCCAAATCTATGCTAGAGAGAAGTCAGAACACCTAAATTCCCACTAGCTTCATTTAAATGCCAGCAAAATTAATGACCAATTGAAACTGCATTTTGCTCCATCTTTATTGATTTTTTAATACCTAAAATGTGTGTACAAAACAATAAACACAGGAGAAAAACCAGTCTGTAACAAGCTAAGAACCGTTAAGGAAAGTGCTGTGTACAGAATTCCATCCAAAACTAACAACCCTCTCAATTACTGTGGTATTTCAGGTGCCTTCTCTCTCAGAATAAAATAAATGATAAACAGCATGATCCTGTTTTTTTTACTCAGCAGTATGCACAACTATGACTTATACCCTAGTAAGTAGAGTGGTGCCTCGCTAGACGATTGTCTCACGGGATGAAAAACCCGCAAGACGATTGGTTTTTGCGATCACTATGGTGCCTCGCAAGACTTTTTTTTTAGACCGATGCTTCGCAAGACCTTTTTTTTTAAGACCGATGCATAGGGAACCTTGAAAGATGATTTTTTTTCACAAGACAATGATTTTCGCCGAACGAATTAAAATTGTCTTGCAAGGCACACTGTATGTACAGTATGGTAGCTTAAATCATGCACATCCAAATTATACATAATATTGCTGAAATAAACCCAGCAGTTATCCTAGATATCTGTGGAGGAATTTCTTTATACAGTACTAGTTTGAATCCTGGTCTGCTCCTTTTATCTGTGGAAGAATAATTGATCAGAGAACATTTCTGCTGGATGAAAAGAAGCAGGAAGTGAATTTACCAATTCCCTACTACCAAATGTTCATATTATAGTCTATATTGTTCTAGATCCCCAAAGCCTCCTAAGCTGATGGGTGGCAAAGGACACTGAAAGAAAATTGGTGGATATTGTCCTTTCTCCCTTCCAAGATTAGAAACATGCTATGAGCCACATTGTATCCTCAGGATCTCTGGGAATCAGTTACTGTATTTTCTTTTAGTTTCTATATCCCTTGTTAATTTTCTGTTTGTATGTATTTTTTCACAAAATGTACAAAGCCTCCAAAGCTGATGGGTGGCAAAGGACACTGAAGGAAAATTGGTGGATATTGTCCTTTCTCCCTTCCAAGATTAGAAACATGCTATGAGCCACATTGTATCCTCAGGATCTCTGGGAATCAGTTACTGTATTTTCTTTTAGTTTCTATATCCCTTGTTAATTTTCTGTTTGTATGTATTTTTTCACAAAATGTAAGATTATTTTCTGTTCTCCAATCTCCAGATACAGTTCTAATCCAAACTACATTTCTCAACAAACTTCAGAGAAATCTAACCACCTCTTTTGTCTTCAGTTTTCTACCTGTTTATTTACAGCCATTGAGCTTTCAATATCTAACTTTGCTTTTAAGCAATTTAATCCTTTTCTCGTTCTATCTGATGCACTGCAATTTTTCAGTGCAAAAAAACTCATTTATATGTTTTCTTACATTACACAGTACAGATCTCACAGAAAATATACCTTGGCTGCATATTGTTCCAAAGCACTGATAGTATCTGGGTCAATGGTAGCATCTCCTGTGTGAAGGCCAGCTACTGTGCCATCAGCCTGTATAGCCAAGATGGTATCTGATTGTGGCACCTGTACTGTATGGTGAATGTAAGCAGTCGTCCCATCTTCCAGCTGTACTGTTTGTAGGGCACTCTGGTCGTAACTATCTGATGAATAATTTAAAAACAATATTAAGACACATATACCATTGCTACATATATTTCTTTTCAAAAGAGGAACAGAAGCAGAAACACATAGTAAAACCTTTCAACTATACGAAATATAATATTTGAATGTTTTATGCTGTTCTTTAACAAATACATTTTAAATGACATCACTATTTGCATAAAATTTACAAAAGTGCACGTCACGTTTTTATTGGGTGCTATGATAAATCAAATTAAATCAAATTCTCTCTCTCCCCCCAAAAACCCCATCAATGTATTTGTTTATTTTTGTAAGATACAGTGGTGCCCCGCTTGACGATTACCTCTTTAGACGACGAAATTGCTTAACAATGAGTATTTTGTGATCGCTATAGCGATCAGAAAACGATGTTTGTATGGGGAAAATCCGCTTGACTACAATCGGTTCCCTGCTTTGGGAACCGATTTTTCACTAAACGACGATCTAAAAAGAGCTGATCGGCGGCTCTCAAAATGGCTCCCCGCTGTTTTGCTGCCTTCATTTCGCGAGACAGGGAGCAGAAAACGGCCACCGTATGGAGGATTTTTGCTGCATGAGCAGGTATTACCCTCATTGGAACGCACTGACTGGTTTTCAATGCATTCCAATGGGTTTTTTTTTTTTTCGCTTGATGATGATTTGCTGTACAGCAATTTTGCTGGAATGGATTATCGTCATCAAGCGGGGCACCACTATAGTTCAGGCTAAGGGAGCAGCACATACCTTTCTATACCAAGGCAAGGTTGCAACAGGCCTAAAAGAGGGCATGGAAAGAACTTCCCTAAACATGTCCTCCCTGAATCTCATTGTATTAGATAATTATCAATCAATTTTCAATACAGTGGTGCCTCAATTTACAACCATAATCTGTTCCAGAAAATGGACGTAACTCGAAATGGTCGTAAGTCGAAGCACCATTTCCCATAGGAATGCACTGAAATGCAATTAATCCATTCTGGCTGAAGCAAAAAACCACACACATACACAAATCACTGCAAGACTCATTGGAAATGTGATCAATCCCTTCCGACCGAGGGGGGGGGGAGAAGAAAAGCAATCAAATGTGCAAGACCCATTGGAAATGCACAGAAAGCAAATGGAGCAGATCAGAAATGCACAGAGAACAAAGGGGGCAGGTCGGAAATGCAAAGAAAACAAAGGAAAAAGAGGCTAGATCCTGGAAATGTTAATGTTATGCACTGCAACTCCCAGGATGGTCCCATGCCAGCTGGGGAGTTTGGGAGATGCAGTCCAGCAAAGGGATATCTAAACGTGTGCTGCAAACTGGCCTTTGTCCTCTCCCGCCCACCGCTACTACTGCGTGTTGGATGTTTGAGACATTCTTGGCGAGAAGCTGCTGAAAAGACCAAGTGCAGAGTATGCAAAGAGGCTATTGTCTCGACTGTGTATCATTTCTTTCTCCTTTATCTAAAGCTGAGAGGGGGGAATTGGCAAAAACACACACCCAAAAAAAAAAAAAAAAAAAAAAAAAAAAAAAAAGCAAAGCAGAAAGCAAACAAACCATGCAAGACCCTTCGGAAATGGGGGGAAAACCCAAAAAAGCAAACAAGACCGCCAAGACCCATCAGAAATGGGGGGGAAACCAAAAAACAAACAAACCCCCCCAAGACCCATCACAGCATAGAAACATAACTCCCCCAGCTCAAAATCACACTGGAAAAACACACAGAACAACTTTAAAAGGCAGAAAACAGCACCTTACCTTACAAGGCAGCCCGAAGCCTCCTTGCAAACACAGACACACGCTCACTCAGAAGCAGAAGTGAGGCAGTCCCAAGCCTCCTCCGATCACACACTCTCTAACTGCTGGGGTGAAAGAGCTACAAAGAAGCAGCCTCATTGCCACCTACAGTTAGCAATCTGAATTTCCCACCTTTTTCCCCTGCCTTTTTCTGTTCGTAAGTGGAAGCTCCGGTCTTTTGTGGCTGGAGCTGGTCATAACTTGAAATGGTCGTAAGTAGGGATGTTCGTACATCAAGGCACCACTATATATTAGACAAAACGCTGAAGGGGATGTGGTGGCATTCTAGCCCTATAGTGTTCTTGGACGAGATGAAGCATTTATTACCTATTCTAACCTGGCTTGGAGCTTGATTGTGGTGTCAATTATGAATTCTGACAGAAATATATGACAAGAAAAAAAAGAAATTTGAATGGAATGCAAAGGTGTCGCTCTAAAATTGAAAAGCCCTTTTAAAAAGTGCCTCTGAGAAGTGCATTAAGAGTGGAAGTAGTATTTAAAAACAACTACAGCTGGAGTTAGCTGTCTCAAAGGTTAGCTGTCTCATACCCAAGTTGGCTGCAACCTTAAAAGATTCATGTTCCCAAAAGAGCCAAGGTCCTAAGTCATGATGTTTCAACTAACTCAAAACATCAGAAGTATTTAAATACAGTGGCGCCTCGACTTACGTACATCCATACTTACGACCAGCTCTGGAAATTTTGCTTCGACTTGCAGCCAGAGAGTCGACTTGCGACCAAGAAAGGGCAGGGGGAAAAGGCGGGATATTCAAACCGTTGGTGGCGAAGAGCATGCTTCTTGGTAGTTCTTTCATCCAATTGTTAGGGAAAGGGATGCTTTGCCAGGCCCGGCGGAGGGGGTGCCGCCAGCCCGGTGCCAGGAGGCTGAGCCTGGCCAGGATGCTCCTGTGCTTGCCTCCTGGGCTATTCCGGGGACGACGGTGATGGTGGTAGCGGCCCAGCACCGGGAGGCTGAGCCTGGCCGGGATGCTCCAGCCATTGCCTCCCGGGCTCTTAACGGGATAGCGGCGGCTCCAGGGAGTGAGTGCGATCAGAGGAGGCCTCGGATTGCCTCGTTAAGGTAAGGTGCTGCTTTTTGCTTTTTAAAAACGGTTCTGGGTGGGTTTTGCAGGGTGTGTTTGGGCTGGGGGTGTTATGGTTCTGTGCTCTGTTGTTTTGTTTTTTTGGTGACTTTTTTCTTTTTGGCAATCTCAGCATGGGGACTTGCTCCGGTGTTTATTTTTGGGTTTTGTTTGTTTTCTGTAGCCCCAGCACGTTCCTATGGGGCTTGCAGTGTTTTAATTTTTTAATTGTTTGTATTTTTTTAAAATGCTGGAACAGATTAATCGCGTTCCAATGAGTTTCAATGAGAAATAGTGCTACGACTTACAACCAATTCGACTTACGTCCATCTTCTGGAACGGATTATAGTCGTAGGTCGAGGCACCACTGTAGGGATCTCTATCATGTTTATGGAACATCTCCAAAAGGAAGGGAACTATCTAAAAGGATGCAGAAGCCAACTGTTTTGCAAACAAATGGGAAGACACAAACGGATTGAGAGTGGCTGGGAGAATAAAATAGGTAAAGTCTTGGTGAGCTTTTCTCTTTATAGAGAAAATATGTTTCTATGCCTTAATAACATGCTTAGAGCTAAGTAATGTTTTTCATTTTGTATTTTCTTATTGTAAGAACTCTGATGCTCTGTAATGTATTTTAAAGAAAACTTTTGAAGTTTTTCAAGCTATATTGCTTTTTATATTTAAAAGAAATATGTATTCCTTGCCTTATAAGGCTATAAGCTCTTATTGTTCATTTTTATTCTTGAAAGAGTCTATGTTTTGTATTCAGGTACAACTAAAGTTCACTTTTAAGCATTTCAGTATTTTTGCCTACAGCTTTGTTCATAGCTGTAAGGATTATTTTTGCAAGCTAAAGCAACATGCCTTCTCAAAAAAGTTACGTTTGTAACGTTTTTAGACTTTATGTCTGTACAGTGGTGCCTCGCTAGACAACTGCCTCGTGGGACGAAAAACCTGCAAGAGAATTGGTTTTTGTGATCACTATGGTGACTTTTTTTCTATGACCATGCTTCGCAAGACTTTTTTTTTGAGACTGATGCTTCGCAAGGCTTTTTTTTTTAGACCGATGCATAGGGAACCTTGCAAGACAATTTTTTCACAAGACGATAATTTTCACATGAATAAGGTAAAGGTTTCCATTGACATTTAGTCCAGTCATGTCCGACTCTAGGACGCAGTGCTCATCCCTGTTTCCAAGCCATAGAGCCAGCATTTGTCCAAAGACAGTTTCTAGGGTCACAGGAGCTCACTCCGTCGCGTGGATTCGATCTTACTACTGCTGGTCTTCTGACCTTGCAGCACAGAGGCTTCTGCAGTTTAACATACAGCACCATCACATCCCTTTTAGGTTATGAATATTCATATGCTATTTGCATAAACCAATGGGAGTGCTGGAGGGATGGAGTCACAAGGTATGAGACTCAGCAGCAGGAGGAGTTTAGGGTTCTAGAGATAGACACAGATAGGGTTTTTTGGAGATTGAGTTAGAAAATTGAGAGAGTTTTGGAGTTTGGGCAAGAGAATGGTATTTGAGGGTGGATAAAGAAGAATGTTTAAGAGTTAAGATGTTCTGTCAACATCTCTATCAATAAACAATTCCTATTTGTTTCTTTTAAAATGACATATGGTCTGGACATCTATTACTAATAATAGGTATTATTGATGAAATTAACTGGTGGCAGCTGAGGGGCACGTAGCGTTAGCTCCTAGTTTGGTGAAACAATTAGGGGCCATGTGAAATCGTGACAATGTCTTTCATATGGAACCCAGAAATGATGTAAATAATGGAACTTGTATAGAAATAGCAAGTTCTCAAGTAGCCTGGGATTATTGAGATACACTTACAATGAGATACCCAGAAGTGTTTTACAAACAGCTGGTTACTGATTTTTTGATTTATTTAAATACAGTGGTGCCCCGCATAGCGAGGTTAATCCGTTCCGGATTAACCATCGCTATGGGGAAACATCGCTATACAGTACAAAAAAGCCCAAATGGGCCCCAAACTGACCATTATGCGATGTTCCTCCATAGCGCAGCCATTTTCGTGCCCTCGGTAAGCGAGGGCAGGGCGCGAAAACGCTGCGCGTGGCCATTTTGGGTCTTCTGGTGGCCATTTTGGAACTGCCGATCAGCTGATTTTTAAAAAACGCTATGCGAGAATCGGTAAGCGAAACTCTTACCAATCGTCGCAAAGCCTCGTGGCGCAGTGGTTAAAACGCTGTACTGCAGCTAAAACTGTGCTCAGTTTTTGCCTATCTAGGCATCGGTATGCGATCGCATTAGCGATCCCAAAAAACGGATTGCTATACGAATTCGTCATTAAACGGTGCGCTTGTTATGCAAGGCACCACTGTAAAGAATTCAGATGATATTTGAAACAATAATGCTCACTAAATTTGAAACATTTATTAGTCACATAATTAAACTGCTTACTGGCCTAGGACTAGAAATTATCTTTTATGTGCATAAAATACATGTTAACTTGAATCACAGCTTATCACTTTATGTTTCCAAAAACAATATAACATTCTGTGTTGCCTCAGAATTTTTATTAAAAGGGGCATAGCTTCTCTAATTAATTTGCTTCCCTTTTAACTTCTGGAATAATTTTGCTTTCATTGTTAATTACTGAAAAACTGAAACCCTATAATGAGCTATTACTAGATCTGGTAGCGTAAGTATCATCATCATCATGTGACCCCATACGGTGACCCCTTTCAAGGTTTTCCAGGTAGAGAAAGTGGTTAACCATTCCCTTCTTCTGGGGGCATCCTGGGACTGTGCAGCTTACCTAAGGCCAAACCGACTGGCATAACGGTGAGGCACAGTTGAGAATCCACAGCGAGATACATAAGCCACTAGATTATCCAGCCATCTCTAGTGTAAATACAGGGCAAAATAAAGTGATCCAGTACTTTTAAAGAATAAATTCTTCCATATGGGACCAAAATCAAACCCAATGGAAAGGATCCAGACTAGCTATAGATAGAATTAATCACAAATCTCTTTTGCGGGAGGACAGGAAGACAATTCATTTCCCTTCCCCCACAGCTCCCTAATGCCCCTGAGGAATTGTTCTGAAGGCTCAGGAAATACACTGGAACAGCTGGGAACCATATGAGGAATTAGTGAACTTCAGCTCCACTTCTGCCAACAGAATCTTGCACAAGAATTTAGTTGCTTCTAGAAATGGAAGTCTGACTACAACACTATTTTTATATTAAAAAAGAAATTGCAGCTACTCTGTTTAGCAGAAGGTCAATCACACATCAAAACGTAAGTTACCTTTAGAAGTGTGATGAATGAAAGCTGTCGTTCCATCTTCAAGTTGAACAGCCTGTCCATCTTCTAACCGAAGACTATCTCCTGTATCAGGAGAAGAAAACATAAATGTTACCCAAAACATTTATGATCTGGAACATGTGATTTAAAAATGTTATCTATGTACTAGAAAATATAATAACCAAACCATTTTCAAATAACACACTAATAATGCATCAAACTGTTCATAAGAAATCATTTACAATACCGCACACCATCCTTAAACTTGCAGTCACTGTAGCATAAATGTAGTACACTTACTGCTTTTGGACATGGGAACGTGTTGGACATAGGCAGCTGAGCCATCTTCCAGTTGAATCACCTGTCCATCCATTAATTTGCCATCTATAATATACATATATTAAAAATTAAAGGGATGATTTCTGAATCAAGCAAGAGTGATTTCTCTAACAAAAGAGGCTTCTGTATGCAGATCTACTTTTGGACTAGGTCCCTGTGAAATAGCCCCCATACAATGCCTGAAATCAGCTGATATTAAACTATGCATGAAGTAATACAGAGATGGTTGTTAATGTTTGACATTGCACCAAATTATCAGTTTGGGGAGCTGGAGTAAAAAGTGAATCAACATGTCTCTTCACTTTTTTATATCCTGGACACATTATTAGCAATGTCATAACTGAAAGCACAGGTCACAGCTTCTGAATTCTTGAGAGCAGCAACATGAGTGCATCTTTATTGAGACAAATTAAAAGTATATGCATTGGGGCCTACATAGACACTAAAACTAAAAAACATATCCATTTTTTGTGTTTCAGTATTTTATTAAATGCCACTGAACCCTAAAGGGAGTAAATAAAATACAGGAAATCTGCAAGCTTGGGGAAAAATCGTTATGCAGCCTTCCACAGCTGCATTGGAATTGCACCAAATATATATATATGGCATACATGAGCAGTGTGCTAACTATATAGTTAGGACAATGCTCATATATGCTAACTAATCCGGCCTAGTTTTCAATGGGATTTTTTCACTTCTAATTTTTCCATGATTGCAGCTGACATACATTTTAAACTACACAGTTTAAAAAGTATGTCAGTTGCAATCATGGGAAATTTTGAAGCATGCCAACAAAGAGATAAATTATTATTTTAAATAAATGCTGAGCCAAACAGGAACATATAGGAGGCTTAGAAATACTTAAATCAGTACAATGGAAAAGTGTTAAGAGTAGGGTACTGTGTCTTGGTTATAAACTTCACAGTAGCTATATATGCACTCCAAAACTTATATTACCATCTGATGCATTTCAACAAGATTAGCTCAGCCTCTTAAAATTCAGTCATGCCTTTTTCCCCACACATTCCAGCTATAATACTATAGGCAGCACTAAATAGTAGACTGACTGGATTTATCTAATTGTTACCTCATCATTCAACAACTGTTTCAATGTCTCTAGCAACAGGATTTAGGCCTCAGTGTAAAAATGCTAGTTCTAGAACTCTTCCACCGTACTAAAGATATCAGGAGGTGTTCTTATTAAACCCCTTTTATATTGAAAACCTCTCATATGTTGCTCTTTCAGCAATAAAAATGTTACCTGACCATTCCAGAAATATTCTCTACTGATGTCGAAGTTTAGGGGAAGATAATTGCTCCAAGACTTGGAACCAAATAATATGTGCTGCCAACTGCTATGTAATACAGTACTGAAGTAAGCTCTTGCCTACTGGTAACTCTAGCCATATCTACACATAATATCCATGTATTTTATATAGAAGAGGCATGTGAAAGAGACTATGGCATGTACATGTACATTATGTGTGACAATGGATTAGACACATAATCATACATGTGCAGATGGATATGAACCAAAATTTAGGACAGATGTGACCACTTTTTACTTTTGCCCTGAAGGCTTAGCTATAAGGGAATTAAGAGCTTAACTGTAGAATGTACCCTACTCATAGACCAATCACTGCATCAAGGTTTCTGGCAGCATCTTTATATTGTTTGTGTTTCACTTGTTCAAATGTACAGCAAGTATTCTGGGATTATGAACACAGATGCAGCGGTGGTGCTTGTTCTTCAATTTAGACCAAAGATGTTTTATTTTCTGATCAAATCTTTATTGCTGTGTCCAAATAAACATTTTTTTTGTAAACTGATCTTCATATGGGAGAAAAAGCTTCTCTCAAGATTATTTTGTTTTAAGTTAAATCAATATGGTAGTTGACTAGGCATTGTAATTATACCTTTAGAATTATGCTGTATATAAGCAGTGGAACCATCAGAAAGTGTAACTGCTTGCAAGCTTACTCCTTCCATGTTTTCTAAGTTGTCTCCATCTAAGAACAACAAAACAATATTTACAAATTACTCAGTAATACAATTAGCTTTTAACATATAAACTAGAGATGGACATGAGTAAAAAATAATCTGTGATACCCATGAACCACAAATTTTAAGAACTTTAAAAAAACACAAACTTTTTTAAAAAGTTCATGTCTGGGGGAGGAGAAACAAGAACCCCACCCCC